CATCATGTTTGTTCTCTGGAGAGAACTCTTTTGAAATCATCCTCCTCTCCAGTGTTTAGAGGTTTTTACAACATGCCACAACTTCAAGCCTCCAGGGTCTCTACAGTGGCGGACATGAAATTGTTTTGCAACGTTATGGCCCTTGAATCCTCTTTTTATGTATGTCAACTTGATTTATCTATATACATAGTGGAAACTTGGCAACAAATGTAGAGCTTTACAGCATACAACCACTCACTTCCTTCTTTTTTTAAGGGCCTTTTAGCCCAATTTTATTCAAAAGGAAAGTTCTATAATATGTTTCCCATGCAGGGGTATCCACCATCAAAACAAATTAAACAAATATTCAGCCTCCAAGCCAGGGGATAGACACTAGGACACTAGACAGAGGAAGACACTATGTTTATGTCTCCTTTATACTGAGGAATATTCTTGGGAGGAGATTGAGTAAGGGATTCCTGCGGTGGGTGTGAATAGGAGAGGAGAGTCACGTTTCCAGCAGCAATTGGGAGATACTCACCACTATTGCTGAGATGCAATATATGATCCATAGTTCCAATAGGTGAACAAAAGCGGTTTTGGCCTTTTAGGAGGCATCAAAGGAGGTGAGCGCATATTGAGATCATAATAAGAAGTCACTTGGAATGAAGATTTGTTCATTTTTGAATTTGTCACGTTTGGACTGATCACATTTTTTTTTTTTTTTTTTTTATTTATTGCAATGGTCACTTATTATTCGGATATAATTTGTTTCACGCTAACACAAAGGACTTTATCACTAATGTATATTTTTTGAAAGATAATTGTTTTATTACATGTTATAATAGTTTTAGGAGCACGGCACTATTGTTTGTAATTTTATTTATACACATTGAGTAAGTGTTTTTTTGTGCTGACGCACCTTGTCAAACGGAAGTAGTGGCTCACAAGTTTTTTAAAAAAAAAACTTTTTATTTTTAACCCTTGCCTCCCTACTAAACAGAGCATTGTACAGAGGCGAGTCTTTCTCATGATTACCCGAAATGGGTTTCCCAACTGGGAGTACCCCAAATTTATAGCAGAGTCTCAAAGTCATTCTCATTAATCACTGCATTAGTATCTCCCACATTTATCTCAATAGTACCAGTCTTACCCACCACTGCAACAGGCTTCACCTTCTTCACTTGAGCGCGGGGGATCTGGATCCTTCCTGTTATCTCCTTTGCTTGGCTTTGGCCAGCCAGTTCATCCATGCAGCCATATGATGATATTGTGGCAGGCACTTCTGACTCCTTGGCACCCCCTGCAGGCACAACAGGTACTTCCTCACTGTTGCCAGAGGTGGCTGCCAACATTTGTAAACAAGAATCTGGGCTTGCAGATGATGACTTTTGCCTAGTAGCACCGTCATCAGCGGTATTTAATAATCTGGGGCAGGTAAAGATACCATGCCCAAACTGACCATATTCCAGGCAGGGTATGTTTCCACACATAACTTTCTTGGGACACTAAACCACATCTCCTTTGTAGCCCCTTCTCCTGGTTGGCAGGCTTTCTCCTGCTGCTATGGGAGATGGCACTCTCCCAGCTGAACTTTGTGGGTTCTTCCAGATGCGCTGAACACTCTCTCTCTCTCTCTCTCTCTCTCTCTCTCTCATCTCTGCGTTGCCACAATCCTCTGCAGAAGACACTTCTCCCTTAGGTCTGCAGGCCTGAGGTCACAGGTGGTGCTATGGGCAACCACGTTCTTCTGAAATTTTGGGCAGCCTGTTGCTCATTCCTGGAACTTCAAGCAGGCTTCCCAATTGCATACCCAGACCTTTGTCTGGTTGTGTCACCTTGTACTGGAAGCTGGGATAAAGGACACTTTGAGACAGTGTGCCCTCATTCACTGCACCGCAAACAGCACTCTTGCCGCAGTATCTTGGCCGGATTTCCAACACTGCATCCTCTTTCAAGCTTAATACTCTGCACAAAGAAAGCTGGTTTTTCTTTCACCAGCATTGCCAGGGGCAAAAACATGCACTTCCTACTGTGGCAAACTCTGTTCGGACATGTATAGGACTCGTTCTGCTGATAGCAACCCCTCCAGCCACAGGGCTCTGTCTCTCATTTCAGCAATCCTTGCTTCTTTTCTGAGTTTTGACCGCCCCATCTTCACAGTTATGCACACAGCAGTTTGTAACACATTTCAGCAACGCAATGGAACACTCTCTCTTTAAGGTAAGTTCCTTTTTCTTGCAGGTTCTCCTCACCTGCACATACACAAATTGTGCTGTCTCATACACATAAACACAGTTCACATAACTGATGAGCTTACTTCTTTTGCAGGGATCTCCAATTCTGCCCACTGCATACACCACCATATGTGGGAACTTAGCATCAAATGTAGTGCTTTACAGCACACAGCCACTCACTTCCTTATTTTTTTAATAGCCCAATTTTATTCAAAGGAAAGTTCCATAACATGTTTCCCATGCAGGGGTATCCACCATCAAAACAAATTATTATTATTATACAATATTTATATAGCGCCAAAGGTTTGCTCAACATTGTACATTATAGTGGGGGACAGTACATGAGACAATACAGTAACAAAACAATACATGAGGGGTTCGAGGGCCCTGCTCTTTTGAGCTTACAATCTAGGAGGAAGGGGATAGTGGTACAGGAGGAAGTGGCTGTGGGGGATGGAGTGGTAGGAGGAGTAGAGGAGATCGGCTGTTAGGTGAGAGTGGGGTAGGCTTCCCTGAAGAGATGGGTTTTCAAGGTACTCCTAAAGGTGAGGAGGGTAGGTGACAGTCTGATGGTTTGGGGTAGTGAGTTCCAGAGGATGGGGGAAGTCCTGGAGAAGTCTTGCAGTCGGGCGTGGGAGGAGGAGACCAGGGAGCTAGAGAGTAGGAGGTCTTGTCAGGAGCGAAGAGTACGGGTTGGGTGGTATTTGGGTATCAGGTCGGTGAGGTAGTTTGCAGCAGCGCTATGAATGGCTTTGTATGTCAATGTTAGTAGTTTGAATTTAATGCGTTGGGCAATCGGAAGCCAGTGGAGGGAATGACAGACGGGGGTGGCAGAAGCAGAGCGGTTGGTAAGGTGGATGAGTCTGGCCGCTGAGTTCAGGATAGACTGAAGCGGGGATAACCTGTGTTGGGGTAGGCCGGTGAGAAGGGAGTTGCAGTAGTCCAGACGTGAGATAATAAGGGTGTGAACAAGTTGTTTAGTAGTGTCTGGGGTTAGGAACGTACGTATTTTGGAGATGTTGCGGAGGTGGAGCCTGCATGAGTTTGCCAGCGATTGGACATGGGGTTGGAAGGACAGGTTTGAGTCTAGAGTGACACCTAGGACTTTGGCTTGCGGGGTGGGACTGATGGTGGCGTTGTTGGTCATGATGGAGAGGATAGGGGGGGGGGGCGCGGGCTGGGGGGAAAATTAGGAGCTCGGTTTTGGAAAGGTTCAATTTGAGGAAATGGAGCGACATCCAGTCTGATATGTCGATCAGTAGGTGGGTGATATGGGCGGAGACTGAAGGGGTGAGGTGAGGGGTGGAGAGGTAAATTTGCGTGTCATCTGCGTAGAGGTGATAGTTGAAGCCGTAGGAGTGTATCAGTTTGCCGAGGGAGGAGGTTTAGATGGAGAAGAGAAGGGGCCCAAGGACAGAGCCTTGGGGGACCCCAACAGAGAGGCGGAGAGAGGGGGAGGTGGTAGCGTTATAGGTAACGCTGAAGGAGCGTTGGGATAGAGTGGAGTCTCTAATGCCAAGGGAGTGTAGTTTGAGGAGGAGGGGGTGGTCAACTGTGTCGAAGACCGCGGAGAGGTCAAGGAGTAGGAGGACTGAGTAGTGGCCATTAGCTTTGGCGGTTAGCAGGTCATTAGTGATTTTGAGTAGGGCAGTTTCAGTGGAGTGTAGGGGACGGAAGCCAGACTGCAGTGGGTCGAGGAGGTTGTTGTCAGTGAGGTGGGAGCTTAGGCGATTGTAGTCTAAGCGCTCAAGGAGCTTGGATGTAAATGGCAGCAGGGAGATGGGTCTGAGGTTCTTCGGGTCGGTGGGGTCCAGGGAGGGTTTTTTGAGTACGGGGGTGATGTGCGCGTGCTTTAGGGGGGAGGGGAATGCGCCAGTAGAGAGGGAGAGATTGAAGATGTGGGTGAGGGAGCGTAGGATGGAGGAGGAGGGTGACCGAAGGAGTTGTGTGGGGACAGGGTCAAGGGGGCAAGGGGTGAGGTGGGCTTCTGAGAAGACCTTAGTGACCTCCTCAGTGGTAGCAAGGCTGAAGGAGAGGAGTGTTGGGGAGGTTAGGTGTGGTGGGTGGCAGGGCAGTTGCGAGGTCAGAGGAGGGGAGAGTTGAAGGGGTTATAGTGGGAGGGAGGCTAGGTGGGGAGGTAGATTGAGCATTGGCGATGCATCGATCTTGTTTTGGAAGTGATTGGCAATCTCGTGGGCGGTGAGTGAGGTACTGGGTGGAGGTGGGGAGTAGGGAGTTGAAAGTGGAGAAGAGTCGATGAGGACAGGTGGAGAGGGTGTTGATGAGGGTTACTAAGTAGGCTTGTTTGGCAAAGTGGAGGGAGGAGGTGTAGGTGAGGAAGGCGGATTTGTAGAGGGAGAACGCTCGAGGGGATCTGGTTTTGCGCCATAATCACTCCAGCGCGTGACTGCGTTGTTTAAGATTTTTAGTGTGGTTGTTCTGCCAGGGTTGAAGTGGTTAGGGTCTAATGCTTAAACAAATATTCAGCCTCCTGGCTCCCTCAGGTGTACAGACAATCCTGCTCTCTGGCTCCCACCTCTCCTAGGTGAAGCCTTCCTGACTCCTGGGCAATGACCTCCTGTCTGCCGGGGTGGAGCCCAGAACCATAGTCAGGTTATTATTTAAAGCCCTGCACACACCTGTACCATTAGTGTGCTGGAGGCTCAGAAAACATGGACCCAGGATTGGAGATGTCATCCCTCCCAGATCACTTTGAAATCTCCAGGCTCATATGACGTCCTCCCATTCTAAACCGCGCATGCGCGGCTCCGGGAGCGGATCACCGATCAATGGAAAGAGCCAAAGATGTCGGCTCGGTCATGTGATCAGCTGTGTCCAATCACAACTGATCACATGTAAACAGGGAAATGCTGGTTATCGGCATTTCTCTCCCCACGAGCTGTCACGCTGACAGCTCATGAGGAGAGGAGAGCCGGTAATTGGCATTCCTCAGAGGGGACATGTACACAGATCATCAGAGCACTGATGATCAGTGTGCCCTGATGATCTGTGTAGCCCCAGCAGCGCCACCTGTCAGTGTCCATCAGTGCCAGCTCTCAGTGCCCATCAGTGCCACATTTCAGTGCCCATCAGTGCCACATCGATGCCACATATCAGTGCCCATCTGAGCTGCCTTTCAGTGTCATCCATCAGTGCCACCTATCAATGCCAGTCAGTGCCACCTATCAGTGCTGCCAATCACTGCTGCCTAACAGTGCCAGTCAGTGCCACCTATCAGTGCCACCTGTCAGTGCCATATATATGAGTGCTGCCTTTCAGTGCCCATCAGTGATGCCTGTCAATGCCCATCAGTGCCACCTACCAGTGCCTCCTCATCAGTGCCACCTAATTAGCGCAAAACTTTCAGTGGTTTTTGGTTTGCTTAAGAAAAAATAAAAAACCCGAAGGTGATTAAATACCACCAAAATAAAGCTCTGTCACAAAAAAATCATAAAAATTTCATATGGGTACAGTGTTGCATGACCGCGCAATTATCATTCAAAGTGCAACAGCGCTGAAAGCTGGAAATTGGCCTGGGCAGGAAGGGGGTATAAGTGCCCTGTAGGCTAGTGGTTAAATAAACCCTCTGGAGCCCCTCAATCTGTTCAGTTGAGAATCCTGGTATATAACCTTGATACTCACAATGACAGTGCCCAGAACTGCCACTATATATATTGTACAGTATATATATATATACTGTGTACAGTATATATGTGTGTGTGTATATGCAGTGCATCCAGAAAGTATTCACAGCACTTAACTTTTGCCACATTTTGTTGTTACAGCCTTATTCCAAAATGGATTCAATTAATTTTTTTCTTCAACATTCTACAAACAATACCCCATAGTGACAACATGAAAGAAGTTTGTTTTGAAATCTTTGCAATTTATTAAAAATAAATAATGAAAAAAAACACATGTACATTAGTATTCACAGCTTTTGCCATGACACTCAAAAATGAGCTCTGGTGCATCCTGTTCCCACTGATCATCCTTGATCCTTGATGCTCCAATCAACAACTTGATTGGAGTCCACCTGTGGGAAATTCAGTTTATTGGATATGATTAGGAAAGGCATAAGCCTGTCTATGTAAGGTCGCACAGTTAACAGTGCTTGTCAGAACACAAACCAAGCCTTGAAGCCCAAAGAATTGTCCATAGACCTCCGAGACAAGATTGTATCAAGGCACAGATCTGGGGAAGGATACATAAAAATTTCTGAAGCATTGAAAGTCCCAATGAGCACAGTGGCCTCCATCATCCGCAAAAGTTTGGAACCACCAGGAATCTTCCTAGAGTGGGCCACCTGGCCAAAATAAGCAATTGAGGGAGAAGGGCCTTAGCCAGGGAGGTAACCAGGCACCCGATGGTCACTCTGAAAGAGCTCCAGCATTTCTTCCGTTGGAAAGGGACAGGGGCTGCTGTGTCTTACCTGTGACCGTGACTCCGTGTCCCACGTCGATCTGGTCCACAAGGCACTGCTGGAGGAGGGGTGCAGAGTGTCCGTCCGGTGTCTTCATCTTCCTGAATCTTGATCGCGATGTGGGCGGGATGACAAGCCGCCCCTCAAATCTGGCCACACCCCTGGGATCACTGGGCAGCCTATGGCAGCCTGTCCCTCCCTCTGCAAGCTCCGCCTCCTCACAAGAGAGGAGGCAGAGCTTGGAGAGGAGGAGCTGAGCGGCAGCGCAAAAATTGAAGATCGAGTGAGGGAGCAGCTGGAGCTGGTGAAGAGGAGGAGAGCGGCTGGAGAAGGAAGACAGCTGATGGGTAAGTGTCTGTGCCTGAAGGAGGGAGCCCGAGCTGGAGCAGGGTTCAACACAGCAATGTAAGTATAATTGGTGTCAGTGGGAGTAATAGTGCCCCATCATTAGTGTCAGTGTGGGGGGAATAGTGCCCCCTCATTGGTGTCACTGACACCAATGAGGGGGCACTATTCCTCCCACTGACACCAATGATGGAACACTATTCCTCCCACTGACACCAATGATGGGGCACTAATCCTCCCACTGACACCAAAGATGGGACACTTCCTCCCACTGACACCAAAGATGGGGCACTATTCCTCCCACTGACACCAATGATGGGACACTATTCCTCCCACTGACACTAATTTTGGGGCACTATTTCTCCCCCTGACACCAATGATGGGGCACGATTCCTCCCCCTGACACCAATGATGGGGTACGATTCCTCCCACTGACACCAATGAAGGGGCACGATTCCTCCACTGACACCAATGATGGGGCACGATTCTTTCCACTGATACTAATGATGGGGCACTATTCATTGGTGTCACTGACACTAATGATGTGCCCCAAAATTAGTGTCAGTGTGAGGAATAGTGCCCCATCATTGGTGTCAGTGGGAGGAATAGTGCCCCATCATTGGGTCAGGGGGAGAAATAGTGCCCCAAAATTAGTGTCAGTGGGAGGAATAGTGTCCCATCATTGGTGTCAGTGGGAGGAATAGTGCCCCATCTTTGGTGTCAGTGGGAGGAAGTGCCCCATCATTGGTGTCAGTGTCAGCAGCACAAAACCAAAATACACCACTGTGTGTGTGTGTGTGTGTATGTGTATATATATATATATATATATATATATATATAAAACACACAGTATGCCTTTGGAGTATAATAATGTTATATAAACAATGGAGCTTACATAGTGTAAGATCTCTATATAATATTACTTTTGTATATCTGTATTGTTCATGTTATATACTGTAAATGTGTTTTTATATGTATAACAAAATGTTTTTGACAAAAAGGAGTAGTAGATACATAAAACGGTTGTTGGTAAGAAGAATGTCCTTCGTAATTTGGTTGTGGGCCAGTTTTCTCTCTCTGTCTGCTGGGACTTCATTTAACACACATCATATGGAGGGCTCGAGATCACCAGCAAGCTGCTTGTGAACGTAAACAGTCTTGGTCTCTCCAAAACAGGCAAACATAAAGAGCTTTTTCTTTCCCCGGTATCAAGAAAACCATACAACAGGCTCACAGCCAGACTCTTGGTTCCACACTGGGTTTAGGGTTCCCTCTTGTCTCAGGGTGCCACAAAGGCTGCAGGGAGTCAGCAACAAATGCAACAGTTGCCAGAGAGTTCACACTTGATCACAGCTTGTTAACAACTCTACTCTGCCTCACTGACACAGGTGCTGAGTCTATTCTGCTGCTTTTCAAGACTCCCTTGCCTGTGGCTTAACCCCTTCAGGCCAGTGTCCTTGCAATCAGTGTTTGGTGGTTCTTCACACCCAAAACCTTTGAAATTCCAGGACCCTAATAAGGACTTAGCAATTCAGAGAGTGCTAAAAAACAGTCCTCTCCTCTTCAGCCAGACTACCCTGGAACTCCTTACCCTGAATGGGTAAGAACCCCTGAGTACTCAACAATGTCTTCAAATCACCTATCCCCCTTAAAGGGACCATAACCCAAATACTAGGGGAATATACCTGCCATCCAGAACACATTCCCAGTGTTTGTTTTAGTTTTTAAGTTCAGGCCAAATATGCTGTTTTCATTTGTGGTCATTTACATCTATTCCCATTTTACATTAGCTTCTTCTGTTTAAAGTTATCATATGCTGGCTGCTGCTGCTATATGCTTGTAGGAAGATCATCAATGTGCCTGAATAAATACATCCACTAGATCACTGCTATCCATGCCCCTGATGATGTCATTACGTCAAAATGCATTGGGTGGAGCTTAGCAAGCATACAGTGAACTAGCTTGTTGTGAGCTAAAGGGAACTGTGCACTCAACAGTGTTTTATACACTGGGTTTTTGACAGCTATTCTAACATTATTGTATACAGAGTGTTTTTCTTCTATGTACATGTGAGTTAAATTGTATCTTTTCATACAATAAAATTGCCACGGTGAGCACAATGTCAGCTTTTTATACCTATCTGAGCTTGATTTCCCGATGCTAATCCTGAATGGCTAATTGATCTGTGGAGTCCAAACTGCTGATGATCCCTAAAGGCTTGAGAGAGTTGAGTTTGTTTCCACTGCTGTGTCCCTCTAGAGCAGGGGTGGGCAAACTTTTTGACTTGAGGGCCGCAATGGGTTCATATATTGGACCCGGGGGCCGGACCAAGAGTAGATGAATGATGTGTATGTGTCATCCATAGTAAGTATAGTAATATTCCCCCATAGTAAGCATAGTAATTAATCCCCCATATAGTAATTCGTCCCCCATAGTAATTCATCCCCCATATAGAAATTCATCCCCCATATAGTAATTAATCCCCCATATAGTAATTCATCCCCCATAGTAAGTAATCCCCCATATAGTAATTCATCCCCCATAGTAATTAATCCCCCATATAGTAATTCATCCCCCCTATAGTAATTCATTCCCCATATCCCCCCTGTGTCAATTCACTTACCTTTGCTCCGCGCGTTCCTCTTGTTTCCCGCGCCGTTCGGTGTAGCATGAAAATCTGTCTCCTATGATGATCTGTCCCCCTCGACGTATCTGCGCATGTGCCAGTTTCAGGCATTAGCAGCCGATCGGCGATCTCCGGCACATGCGCAGATACGTCGAGGGGGGACAGATCCTCATAGGAAACAGGGCGGACTGTGAGAGGAGCCTAGCGGGAGCCTAGCTCCGCGGGCCGGATTAAAAGGTCCGCCGGGCCGTAGTTTGCCCATTGCTGCTCTAGAGGCATTTACCTGGATCCCAGTTTTATGACACGAGTGGGGATTTAGGAGATTTTTGAGGTGGGCACATACCCTTAAGGGTTTGGTGGAGGTGGATCATTCACAAGTTTATAATGTAACGTAATTCACAAAGAAGGATTTTTTTTAGCGAAGTGGGACTGTGTGAACTTATCACATATTCTTTGCACATTCCACATATGGGTGCATGTTGACGCTACACATTTGTCATGTGGATATTAAACCTTATTTAATTAATGTTCATGATTATTAATAATCATATACTAGTGCAGCACTTATTCACATGTAATTCAAGGATAATTAGTAAAAATTATTATTGAAGGGGTTTAAGTTTAAACCCAAACACTCATTTACCCTTACAAATACTGGAGTTACCAGTAAAACATGCTGAGGATATGTGAATGTTGCAGTGTTATAATCTCTAAAAAATATTGCTGGCACCTTCTGGATGTATTATTATGAAAAACGTGTTTGGCTGCGGACCCATAGATTAACATTATATAAGGCATTGCAGATTGAGCACAAGTGTGCTATGTGCTGCATT